AAAAAAAAAAAAAAAAAAAAAAAAAAAAAAAAAAAAAAAAAAAAAAAAAAAAAAAAAAAAAAACACAAATAACTCTATAATTATTCACCAAAAAAAAAAAAAAAAAAAAGAAATCAATAAAAAACAACACGCAAAAATTGTTAATATAGTTCAACATTGTCATAAAACTAAAGATACTGACATTTTTTGAGAATTGGTTAAACTAAAAAAATATAAGATAGATCATGAAATTAAATAAACAATAAAAATGATTAGTTTAAAGAGATTCTATATACCAAAATAAAAAATTAAAAAAATATTTTAATTAAAGTAGGTTTACTCTTAGAGTGACCTTGATAAAAAAAAAAAGAACTCTAAACTATTAAGAAAAATAAGAAAGAAAAAATAAAAATATATATGTTGTGATAAATAATGTTATAGCAAATAGATAATAAATAGATTATAATAGTAATACAAAAATGTTCTAAACATCTGAATTTTTAAAATCCGTAAAATAAATACAATAGGTTTTAAAATTATAAAAGGTATGAATAGTTATTTAAAAATAGTATAAAATGTATGAGTGATATGTTAGTTAAACAAAATAAGAAATTAAAAATAATAACATAATACAAAACAAATTAAACAAAATAATAAAAAGAAATATGTATGGGTTGTCGGGTTGAAGGTATACTCCCTGAAGTGCGTTTTGCTTGGGCTCCATTAATTGGATCCGAATTTTTCCGACCCGTATGCTCATTTTCTACTCTCGGCCCATATTGCAAGCAACATCTGAAATTAGGGTTACAAATTCGTCGCCGCAAAACCCTTGGCCTCCTCCGCCTCCATAAATATCCACCGACGTTCTTCATCTTCCTCACCTTTCTGTAGATGAATTCGTCTATAGTTCTAAATTCTCCGATATTCGTCCCAGCAGTTTCTTTTCGTATGGTTTCAGTTTGTATGTTTAGGGTTTAATTTTGGCTATTGAAGTTCATCTGTGTATATTCCGATGAAGAAGCTCTCCCAAAATTGATAGGAAGTGCCGTATGACACTCCAAACCGCAGTGAGAAGCCATTGATACGACTGTTGGCTCCCATCAGGCAGTGAACACCGACGCCGATTCGTTTCTACCCTGGGGCGGTCTGGTTGTTGGATCGTTTTGCTGTCCGGGAATTCTCAGTCGTTTTCCGTGATTCTCCTGTGTGGTTGATTTGAAACGGGTCTCTGAGGATTTTGAGGTATTCTTTCTTCTTTTTGTTTATTCGGTTCGATGCCACGTCGTCGAGAGCTCAATGGCGGTGACCAACGATGCTATGATTGAACCAAAAGTAAAATTTTCACATCTTGATAGGAATCTGTTAATCTTTTTTCATAGATTTACAGAGCCGTTTTGTGTGATTACAATTTTTTTTAAAAAGAAACTTCAATCTCATCTTCTTTCTAATGCTCTGTGTTTATCTCGAATCAGTACTTTTCCCCAGATCTGAGACATTTTTTTATTTGATTTCGAAAGCCAATGATGATTTGTTCTTTTAGTTGGAATTACCGGCTGAATTTTCTTGATGTCAAATAGACTGCTATCTGAGGCTTCGAAAATTTTGAGTTCTTATTTTATTTCATAAGAATCCATAAATATCGCCATCAAATTTCTCCTCTGGAGTTTCTTTATGCAAAATAATTATATCCAGTTGCAACAAAGCAGTAAAATTCTTGGAAGCCATAGCAATATATCGAAGTTCAAAGATTGAGTTCTACAAAATAATGCCTAAAATTATTGGTTGCCTGTTCCTCCACCACCACAAATGCGATGGTATTGTAATAATTGTACATCTTGAAATAGTCATTTCAAGAATTGTTTCACACTGATCTACCAAATCTGGTATCAACTTTGTTAGTATCTAAGAAGCATGTGTACAGGGGTAATGATCAAGACAACAGTAGTCGGCATTGTTAGTACTTAATTTGACTCAACACAACAAACGGAGAGGTCTTGATTCTATGGATTAGATCGATTAGATACAGGAAGGATTGGATATAGTAAGGATTGATAGATTGATGTAGCACTTATCCTCAAACAACATTCTCTATATAAAAATAATAGATTTAAGAAAAAAAAAACTAAGCTAAGCAAGGTTCAGATGGTGCTCGAATGGTATGACCTCTCTGTCACTCTAGAATGAAAGGGGCGATCTTGTAGTTTTTGGTCTGTTAAGATATGGTGTTAGTTACTTCATTTTATTCTTTTCCTATTGAGGCCGAACTTAAATCTGTGCTCAAGAGACGTCCATATGAGGCCGAATCTAAATCTGTGCTTGAGAGATGGTTGTCCATATATTGACCAGAGATGTATGGATTCTTGAGAAAAGAGGAATTGATGTGGTCCCCTGGACCCCGCCCAAATCTCACGAGTGAATATAAAATTTCTACCTTGGATCTCTCTTGAATCGTTAGTTTATGTATTTTTGGTCTTTTTGCATTGTTTAAATTTTTTTTAATAGTTCATTTATAGTGTGTTGTAGCATTTTTTAAAAAGAGCTATTAAAAATGTAAGGGGAAAAAAACAGGCATTAGAACTTTTTACTTTTTGGTTTGCATACCGGTAGGGACTCACGCTCTCACTCCCCTAACACGATAGATTTGTGGGTATTGGTTGGGAAGTGCAAAAGTACCCAAAGCCCTTCCTTCCCTTCTCATGGCTACTAGTATGTTGCTAATAATAAAGTAATAATAAAGTTTTGTCTGAAACTCATTTGGCTGAATTTTGCTCCAGGTTTCCTTCACTCATCATTCCGTTTCTTTTAGAAATTTTTTTCTTTACAATCTCTCTCAGGATTTTGTTGGATGTTGCTCAACTAGGTTTATCTTATAAAAATAAACAATTATCAGTCGTTTCTTTTTATTCTAGGGCTCTATTTTGATGTTTGCCCCTCATTTTCTCAACTGATTTCACCTTTTTGGAATATGATGCTTTTGAGTAATTTAAGAGAGGGTGTAATTCTCATAGAATTTTGTTATTGTTTCACTTATTTGATACCAACCTTTGGAGTTTAGGCTCTGTTTCAACCTTCTGTGAGTTATACTTTAGTAGATCTTCTAATTTTGTATCAACATATCATCTTTACTGATTGAGTTCCAAAGTTATGCTTGTAGCAAATTTAAACACTTTTTTTCTCTCTTAATTGGTCAAATGTCTTACTCAGAGTGAAGTTGTCATATTATAGAAGAATAAGGATGAACTCCAGTTATTGAATGGACTAATTCCTTCAATTAGAGGACCAAATTAAAGTTTGATTACTCCTCATTGAACCATTTCATTTAAAAACATTTCATTCTTTAGTGATATCAATTATTTATTCACACTATACAGACTTATCAATGTATAAATTATTTGATTACATTATTATTTAGCTATTAGCACTAGTAAAGAAAAGACCAGTAAAGAAGTTGTTTTGTTTGCTACCGACTTTATGAGAATTAGATCAATATCAATATATAAATGATGTTTGCGCCATACCAATGAGTGTTGGTTTACAATTTATTTGTTGTAAAGCTTTATCTAATGGTTGTTGATTGTTAGTTCGTTTTGGTAGGTTGTTTTGATGAAAGCATGTCGGATAAATATATATATATATATTTTTAAAATCTTTTGATAAATACTTTAAAAAAAAAAAAAATCTTTTTTCTTTTACTACTTTTATAACAAATTATTAATGACAAGACGAGGGATATTGTTTTTCTATAAGCATAAATTACAGCACAATTTATATAAATACTCTATAGAATGTTATTTATTTTTATTTATCCGATGGCCAAAGATTTGGTTTAGCTATAAGCAACTTTTACTTAGAGCAACATATTTAGTGTAACGGAGGTAAGTGCAAGTGCACTATTTCTCATTGAAGTTGTTGTGATACTATGTTGAGTTGTATGGTCGAACTTGTTTTCATTAGTTGTCTTGTATTATTATTCCTCATAACAGAAGCACGAGGAATGTGAAGACTCCACATCAGGTATCATGTTGACATACATCCTTTTGTTTTTTTTGCTTCTATTATTTTTTCTTCCACATGATATCATATTAGTCCGATAAGAACACAAATATGTGGAGCATTCTTTTTCTGTTTTATGGGTAGAGGGAATAGATTTGCACTCTAATACTAGCGAAAGACTTACGTGTAAGTGTTGTCCATAAATAATAGGCTGCAAAAGTTAATTCTTTTTTTGTTACGTAGATTTGAGAGTTTGATGTTATTGTCGAGCTTCTCATATTAGATCGGTGTGGCCAAGTCTTGATATAGCGTAGTAATGGTGTCTCATATCTTGCTATCTTTCAAATAATATTACGGTAACTTTTGTCTTAAATTTATTTAATTCTCCTTTGGTTAATTGACTTTTAGTTTGGATGGAGATATCTAGTGAACCGTGTAGGAATTCCAATATATTGTCCTCTTTTTGAAAATGTTAGCTCTTACAACTTCTTCTCAGGATATTGACGGTGCTCTTGGCTTACAAGAATATCTCCTAATAATTTAGCTTTTTCTTTCTTAGATGATTGTTTATCATCTTATTAAATATCACAACAAAGTAGACAATAAAGTAATTATAAAGTACGAGAATACTACTGGGAAGCCCATGACCTACACATATGGAGCTACAAATGCTACACTCTCTCTATTCTCTTTTGTTAAACAAAGCAAATGCAATATAAAATTAAAGATCGTTGGTTATTTATAGGAACCGGAAATTAAAGAACACCAATGCAAATAATGGATAATACTTTATTTTATATTTGTTTGAATAATTTTTTTATTCTATGAAATTGTTGAATACTAATTTTGTAGTATTTAATATGAAATTAAGTAATTTTGGCGTGGATTTAGTTAAATGAATAATATTTAAATAATAAAATTATAAAATAATATTTTATAGCATAAAGTTATGAATACAATTTATAGAGTTAAAAAAAAAAAAAATTAAGATAAGTTAAATATTAATCATATTATATATCAAAAAGTTTTTATAACCATGTATATAAGTTATAGTTTTATATTCTATTATAACATCTATTATAGCTATAAAAAAACGCTATAAATTTTTTTAGATTTATAATAAAATGAGTTGTTACGACATACGAAAAATGCTATAAAAATGCTATTGTATCTATTATTTCTTGTAGTGGTTGTGTTAGGTTAGTGCTCCGAGTGAGAAATATAAGTGAGATCGAAAGGAGAAATATAAGTGGGATCGAAAGTTCGATATCAACCCATTCTTCTGCAACCAAATTGACTCGAAAGTTCGGTAATTTGTCCCATTTAATTTGGTTGGAAAAATATCTTAGTGTGAATTTGTCCCATTTAATTTGGTTGGCAGAATATCAAAGTGTGAACATATGCACCATTTGGTTCATGCCAAAGTGTGAATATCTGCCTGATCACTTTGTTCATGCTTCTAATTTTGGCAGATCATTCATGCATAATGTCACTTAACCACTTAAGAGGTTTATACGCGAGTCACAGCTTGGATTTGGCTGATTCCCTTAACCACTTGAGAGGTTTATGTCACTTTGCTCATGCAAATGTCACTTAACCACTTGAATGCGCGGGTCACTTTGTTCATGCATAATGTCACTTAACTTTATGTGTATGGGCTACTTTAATCAAGTTCTTGTGATTCCGTGAGAGCTTTATGAGCATGGGTGGGCTACTTTAATCAAGTTCTTGTGATTTCGTTAACTTGAGAGCTTTATGAGCATGGGCTATGCTAATCAAGTTCAAGAAGTTTAAGAGGAACCACCTAATCAAGTTCTTGATTCCTTAAAATTTTAGAGTAACACCAAATGATTTATTTGAGGGTAGATTTGGGTGATTCTCTTGGTGATTCTCTTAACGACTTGAGAGATTTATGCGCATGGGATATTCTAAGCATTAAGAAGTTTTAGAGGAAGCATCCTACCCTAAGCATTAAAAGAAGTTTTAGAGGAAGCATCCAACCTGATAAGATAAGGAATCACTACAAGGGGAGTAAGATTCAGATTAAGAACATTGCTTGAGATTCAAATCACTCCACAATCAAGATGTAATAGCCCAAAAATAAATAAAGAAATAAACAAATAAAAAGTTAAAATAATAATAATAATAATAAATAAATAAATAAATAAATTAATTAATTAAATTAAAATAAAAAATAAAAATCTTTCCCCACCTCTCTCCCCTATCCTCTCATCCATTCCCACAATTCTCCCCTATCCTCTCATCCATTCCCACAATTATCTCTCCTCTACCCATCTGAACTGCAAAAAAAAAAAAAAAAAAAAAAAAAAAAAAAAAAAAAAAAAAAAAAA